GCATCCTCATCTTAAAAACAGTCTAACCTCACGGTGGATTCGATCTACACTGTGAACTCAAGTCTGGAAAAAATATGTTCTTATTTTGAAGAATTTTTCGGTTTATTGAAAATACTAAGGATACGTGAGGTATATGGTATATTTGAAATCTGTATAATATACTCTGTATATTCGCAATTTGTCATTCTATGATACATGCATACAATCACACGATTTCCAATTTTTACAATAGTTAATGATTTATAAGCGTAAATATTACACTTGGGACACAATAATTAATGAATAATAGCACGTCGTATGCAGTAACACACTGCGGGCACAGATCATATTTTGTAACAATTTCTATATGACTCGCATCGTGAAATCTGCAGTGTATATATATTAATATATTATATTAAATTGCTAGTCGGGTGCTCATACAAGTCTATATTATATAGTGTAGAGTCTATAATGTGCTGTCGTCCAGGATATAGACGATGAATACGATCTTTATTATTTGTATTATTTGAATGCAGTGTGAAACAATAATATAATGCGTGTATAGTGTTGTAACATACCCAGTAATAGGTACATGATACATCGTGTATCGCGTATAGGTACACAAGATTATTATTATTAAAACCGACTTGAATGCGTATGCTTTGTTCATTGTTTCAGGCAAAGAAGGTTTTGTATAAAAAAAGTATAATATCTGTTTTTGTCAACCAATGACGGCGGCAAAATTCCATTTTATTTTACATTATAATAAAATAAATGATATAAGTACCATGAGTATAACAACTATATAGGTTAGGTTAGGTTACCTACTTGGCGTGGGTGTCCGTCAATCAGAATCTCAAGGGGGGAGGGGATGACTAAATCATTAAAAAAAACTAAGAACCGAAAAAATCGATTTTATTAAATAACGGTAGACAGATGTACAACATAGACAAACCATGATGATGTATAACTATATGTCAATATAATATAATACGTTATGTAATATTATAATATCATCACTCATCAGCAAAATAGTTAATTATTGATGGTTGCATTTTTTTTTTTTAGTTTTTTTATTTTAAATCTAGCTCAACATTACCTTAGACTCTAACGGTTAGAGTATTAACAATAAATATAATAAGCAGAAAAAAAACAATAGAATAATAGTAAAATTAAGTTATAAATAGCTAAAGATATAATAAATTATACAAACAAGAAGACTCAGATAATAAAGCCAGCCTCTTGAATAAAAGAAATAATAATAATGATGACTTGTTCAGAGTTGGAGTTTAAAATGGAGTGAAGATTGATAATATTTCATAATATTTCATATTTATTATATCTTGGGAGTTGACAGTGTTGACACCAATCTAGGTTTACTCCCTAAAGAGCTATACCTGCCTAGTGGCTACCTATAGGTAGGGTAGCCAAATTTTAAAAACACCAAACCGGGATATTAATATGAATAACCTTTKTTTTCGTATAATTTGTTTATTATCATGTTCAATTGTAATTGTTGAGCTATCATAGTTTATTACTAGAAGCTAATAAATTAAAAAATTAAAATAGTGAAAACCTTTTTTTATATAATTATACGGGAATTAATAATATCCCATATTTTAATTGAAAAATGTATTAACCAATACAATTTTTTACATAATCTACATTTATTGCATTTATATTTATTAAATGTTCATACTTTTC